ATACCCCCAAAACCCTGTTCTAATCCTATAAGGCCTCCGTACCCTAAACCCTTATAGAACCCTTTAAGGAACCCCCTTAAAAGGAGCCCCAAAACCTTTTTCTAATCATTCTCGGTCAGCTTCTGCCATCTCTCCTAAGGTCCTAGAGCTCAGTACCCTAAATACCCCAAAAGCCCTAAAAGCCCTAAAAGCCCTAAAAGCCCCCAAAGCCCTAAAAGCTCTAAAAGCCCTAAACCCCGTCGGATCCTTCCCAAAAGAAGCCCAAAGGCCCCCCAAAGCCTCAGCGTAGCGTTAGCATGGGGAGTTCCCTAAAGCAGGGTCCCTTTTGAAGTCCCCCAACACACTGTTGATGATAGAAATCTGCATTACCTTAAAGGACCCTAAACTATGGGAATGATGGTATATTTCTTATTATGGGTATTGCTAAGGATGTATACCATCAACCGTGTGACTAGACTTCGCCTGGCCTTTCTGCTGGCTCAAGCGTGGGATAGACCAGCTGCAGCCAATCCTCCAGTTCATCTGAAGCTCTGCATTGGGCTTAGCGGCTTTAGGGCATTTAGGACTTTAGGGTTTAGAGTTTGGGGGTTTAGGGGTTTAGGGATTATTATTGGGGGTTTAGGGGTTTAGGGTTTAGGGTTTAGAGTTTAGGGGTTGAGGGGTTTAGAGTTTAGGGTTTGGGGTTTAGGGGTTCAGGGGGTGGTGAATTGATGAGGAGAGATTGAATATCGGAACCTACAGGGCTTAAATGGCTGTCATAAGGGGTCTAGGATTGACAAGAGCGGGCTTATCGCTTGTGGGGGTTTGGGTTTAGGGTTGTAAACCTCAGAATGCGCCCCGACATCCGTCCCAAGCACCAAGCGAGAAATCACATCTGCGAGAATGCCACAACCGACTCGAAGAGTTGGGAAGATGCCCTAAACCTACATAAACGCTAAACCCTAAACCCGAAACCCTACACCCTAAAAGCCCTAAACTTCCTAAACCCTAAACCGTAACCCTAAACCCAAAACCCCTAAACCCGAAAACCCTAAACCCTAAAACCCTACACCATGGATCCCTATCAGAGTCGCCGTATCCCAACCGGTAGGGCTTAAGGGAGTTTAGGGAGAGTAGGGTTTGGGGTGCAGGGTTTATGGGGTTTGGGGTT